AAAAAATACTGCAATGCTATCAACATTAAATAATTATTTTTGAAGTTTTAATGTGATTTGTCAGTTCTTTACCGTTGCTAGAGGGGGAGGAGAACAGGCCTATAAACAGAAAAATCTGAAATATTCTCTAGGTAGTCAATCTTGTACATTATTAAAAAGAAAATCCTGGCACATTGTGTTTCCCCATCTGCAGCTTGAAAATTTGGTACTGTTCATTAGACGCAAAATAAAAAGCTGAGTCTAATTATATTCTGGAAATGACAATTTGCAGATTGCTTACACATAGGGATATTCTGAGAGTTCTAGTTGGCTACTTCATTCAGCTTCCTCATTTACATGATAGTATGACAGCTCTGGGAGGTAACAGGAACTCAAACCACAGAATTCTGAGAGAGAGAGAAAGAGACAGGGAGACACAGCCCTTATGTGAAGTATATCATTGGCATTTCAAACCTATGAAAGGCAACTGTATAAATTAAAATAATCATTTTCTCATGAAATTTGTAGATTTCTTTGAAAAATTTCAAGCTTTATGTTCATCGAAGTTTACACAAAGCAGTCAAAATGTATTTTAAGTCATTAAATTCTTGCCCCTTCCTTTGTTGGCAGCTTTTGCTGACTGCTCAAACTTGATTCATTACTTTCATTATGTCCATAGTAGTTCCTCACTGGTAGTTCTGGACTTCGACCCACTTGATTTATTGATTTGATTTATATTGTTGTCACGGTTTTATGAATGCAAAATTTAGGCCAGTCAAGTGAATGTACCACACAGATTTTTTTCTGTTACACAGTGTTAAATAGTGATGGGCAAAACATATGCTAAACCGAACATTTTAAAATTATGTAGAGATGGCTAGATATCGAATACCCAGTAATAAATTATAGATTGAAATTGACTTGAGTTCAGATGATTTATATTCTTAAGTCCTCTGATAACTAACTACCAGTGACAGCATTTGAAATGGGATCTTGACATGTTCCCTGTTCAGTATAGCTAGCTAAATTGGATTATTTGAAAAGCAGTAGTTAGAATTTTACAAAAAAAAGAGGAAATCTGCACAAATGTGACTGCAATATTGCTACAGAGAGTAGTCAGATGAAATCTTAATAATGGATCTGTGGCAGTGAGTTACACTATAACCTAATTGAGAAGACTTTGGGAATTTATATACAGAACAATGGCATCTAGCAGTTCAATATGAAATGTATTCTTTATTCGTAGGCAATACGGTGGCTCAGTGGTTAGCGCTGCTGCCTCACAGCGCCAGGGACCCGGGTTCGATTCTACCCTCGGGCAACTGTGTGTGGAGTTTGCACGTTCTTCCGTGTCTGCACGGGTTTCCGCTGGATGCTTCAGTTTCCTCCCACAGTCCAAAAATGTGCAAATTAGGTGGATTGGCCATGCTAAACTACCTACAGTGTTCAGGGATGTGTAGGTTAAGGTGTGTTAGCCACAGAAAATGCAGGGTTATGGCATAGAGTAGGGGGATGGGGACGGGTCTGGGTCCTCTGATCTTCAGAGGCTGCTGTGGACTTGATGGGCTGAACGGCCTGTTTCCACACTGTAGGGATTGTGTGTTCTGTTTTTCAACATCCCAGTATTCCACTGCACTGCACGCCACATCAATTCCTTTCACTACACTACCAAATCAATAATTTATTTTAATGTTTGCAGCAATATTCTATCATTGAGTGAAATCTATAAGTTGGTTACAAGATGACTTTTTCTTTTCCTCTGTGACTCCATTGTTTAATCTTGGTCTTCATCCAGAGAATAAGCAATGTGCTGACAAAAGAGCTGCAATTTTTGACGACAGGCTAAAGATGTGGGGTTGAATCTAATTGAAATCAGCTAAGTGTAATTTCTGGTGGATTTCATGGAGACATTCTATCTGCAAGGCTTGGCATATTTTCACATGCTATCATCCCAAACTTGCTTCATCAACTACACACTACAACCATATAGTGAGAGACAAAGAATTTGCAGATGCTGGATTCCAAGGTAGACAAGCAGGAGGCTGGAAGAACACAGCAGGCCAGGCAGCATCTGGAGGAAAGGAGCAGTCAATGTTTTGGCTATTACCCTTCATCAGTCATGGAGATGGCTAGATATTGAAGTCATGAAGAAGAGTAATACCCGAAACATTGACCGCTCCTTTCCTCCAGATGCTGCCTGGCCTGCTGTGTTCTTCCAGCCTCCTGTTTGTCTACCTCAGAACCTTATAGCACCCCATTCATCCTACTGTCCTCATCACTATGAGCAGGCATTCTCATCATTGCCTGGATATCCCAGGATCCCTGGCAATGCTCTCAACTGGTGGCTGACTAGACTGACTAATTGGCGTGTAGCTCCCCAACTGACCACAAATCCCCAGTTTTTGGAAAGGACCTTCAAGACTGACTATGGCCTGCTTCTGGACTGCAATGAAATGGACCTTTTGACTGTGTCCACTGTATGTGGAGGACGGACCATGTCTAACCTCAGGACTGAGATTGTCTGATGCCTTTCATTATAATAATGGGACTCCCTGACTGATGGCCTGCGCACTCTGCCTCTCCCCCAACCCTCACCTGACTGAAGACCACTCCCCTTAGACTTTGAGACATGGCCACTTGGCTGATGTACATGCAATCTGTTTGCCATGTGAGCTGCTGGCGCATGATCTAAGTGTCCAATTACCACATCATGGCACTGTATAACATCACATTCCCCCCCCCATCCCCCGCCACTTTGATTGATCACCGCTAACAACCATAACAAGCTTCCTGGCTTCGAGTCTGCTCTCAGCTACACAGCAAGACAGAAGTATTCAGCAAGGTTTGTTTCAGAGACAAAGCACCAAAAGGCAAGGCAAGGCAGAGAGGCTGCGAGCATCAAACTAGTCATAAACTGAGTTTGTGCTAAGATCAAATCCACGAGATAGATGTCTGTCTTTGCACAGAAACTGCCATGCCAGCAGCAACGTAAGGTACAGGAATCTCCCAGTGTGCAGCACTGAAGTGCAGAGCCACAATGTAAGTGGATAAGTGATGTGCAATGCTGATGTGGTGAAGCTGGTATATGTTGGATGTTAACCTTCATGGCTGAGGGCTGCAGGTAGTCGTTGCCCACGTTGCATGCCCCAAGATGTTGGTGCCAGGTATACAATGGAGGTCCAGGGGAGCAAGTGGTGAGTTGCAGTACCAGGATTTTCATGCTAGAAATTAAATGATGACAATTCCCATCTGCCGAGTGGGAGAATAGGAAACTGAATATTAATATGGTGAGATTAGGTAATAACGAGATGTTAATGCATGCTTGAGGGTGGGGGGAGTTGGTTAGCCTAGTTGGCTGGACAGCTGGTTTGTGATGCATACTAATGCCAGAAATCTGGGTTCACTTTCCACACGGGCTGAGGTTACCATGAAGGATTCTCCTTCTGAACCTCACCACTCACCTGAGATCTGGTGACACTCAGGTTAAACTATCACCAGTTGCTTCTCTCTCTCTAATGAGAGTGGCTGTACAGTCTGGTAACACTGTTGTGACTTCACCTTCGATGCATGCTAATAAAAGCAATTGAGCCTCTCATTGCTCACTAGCAAGAATCTTGCCTTGTGTTTAACACTTGGTTGGAAAAAAGCACATTTTGCTCTTGACATTGAGAAGTTCTTCACTGGCCATCTCATGATTTTCATAACTTTCTCACCTTGACCTACATCACTCAGAGGCTGGAAAAAATTTCCCAAGGTTTCAGCTAAAGAATTTGAAATATTTCTGTTCTGTGGAGTAAACACCCTTACTGCGCACAGCTCTGGTTACCACACTACCAAAAGGATGTGGATGCTTTGGAGAGGGTACAGAAAAGGTTTACCAGGATGTTGCCTGGTATGGGGGATTTTAGCTATGATGAAAGGTTGGCTAGACTGGATTTGTTTTTACTAGAACGCAGGAAGTTGAGGGGTGACCTAATGGAAGTTGGTAAGTTTGTGAATGGCATGGACAGAGTGGAAAGTAGGAGGCTTTTTCCCAGGGTGGAGGAGTCAATTACTAGGCGACACAGATTCAAGGTGTGAGGGGGCGGGTTTAAAAGAGATGTGCGAGGTAAGTTTTTCACACAAAGGTTGGTGAGTCCCTGGAACGCGTTGCCAGAGGTGGAAGTAGACACAATAGCAGGATTCAAGAAGCACTTGGACGAATACATGAATAGGAAGGGAATAGAGGAGTGTATGGAAAGGCAAAATGTGGCTGCTTAGGATTGGAGGGCTGAAAGGCCTGTTCCTCTATTGTATTGTTCTTTGTTCTTAAGTGAAACAAAACTAAAAATTCTGAATACACACGCACATGCATCTCGCCCTCAAAAATATTGTTCATAGTATTTATGTATGACACTGACAATATTTCTATGCACATACAGGTTAGCTGATGGTAAATATCCATTTCAAGTGCTGTCTTGTTTGTTTGCAATTCTACATCAGGACAGTCATTTAAAATCAGGGCGATCATATTTTGCAAAAAGAAAATAATGTTCAGTTACTATGGTGGCTGAACCATAAAGTCAAATCAATTGAATCCATTCCTCTATCACCTTTTATAAATTGTAATTGAGCGAGCTGGTGTACTGTTGAACAACTATATTACATTACAGTTACTTAGAGACAGGACAGGATGCACCTGCACAAAAAAACATCACTTCACATCCACCCAAAGAAATCCCCATACGTCACGAGGGTAAATCAACAACGTAATCACTAGGACTACCATTTACAATATACGTTAGAAGTTTGGAGCCAGCTCCACATCTGCAGGCAGAACACATTTCCAGTTTGTTTTTTTTTAAATTTGACTCAAACTTGAAAGGAAAATACTTCATATCTTTCCACATAAATCATAGCCTAAACCTTTTCACAATGTCTGGATTTATTTTCTTTGGTGTTGTGAACTTTGAATATTTAAAAAAAATTAAAATCTTTAAGAAATTCCAAATAAATCATAAGAAGATGATTGTAGCATTTACCTAAAGTCTTGGCTACATCGAAGTCCTGCTGCATATAGCCAATACTCTTCTCTGTATTCCCTAATGCCCAGTAAGCACTGCTTAGAGCAGAGAACACTGACCCACGAAGTTTCAAGCTGCACGTTCCAATTTTCAGGGCAGCCTCCAGAACAACTACAGATGCACTGTGATGTCCTGCTGTCAAAAGCTCCTGGCCAATGACAGATACGACCACAAAGGGGCTTTTGTCCAACTTCATTTTCTGTAGCTTCTGATAGGTTGGTTCCAGGGATTCTGAAAGCAAATCACAGGTTACAATCAATACTTTTAATTAAACAAAGCAAAATCAGATGATCAATTAATTACATCAGCGTGGCATTTAAAAATTATTTAAAATATAATCTATGCTCTGGAGCAAGCGGCATACGATGCAACCGGATTGACTGTTTCAAGCATAACAGTTGCAGGAAAGATAGGCACAGATTTGAATGTTGAAGAAAGGTTGGAGATTGGCAGGTACTGTAGCTAGTTACAATAGGGATGGAGTCCATCTGTTCGACAAAATAGGGGAAACCTGTAGAAAGGGAATCATTGACGTCAGATAGAACAGGGATCTTTAGGGAAAGTTTGGTGGTCAGCAGTTGTGAGAATGTGACGAAGGGAAGAAGGGCTGGGTCTGATGGAGGAGTTGAGCTGTATGTGTGAAAGGGAGGTAGGAGTGAAACTACGGAATAACATAGGGTCACAGTCAAGAAAAATGCTGAAGCCAGGAGCACTGTCTGGATTGGTGAGCAAGGGGAAGGAGGGGAATTGATTGCCTCATTTTGGTAACAAAGATGTCAAGAGGCTCCTTGTATTTGTTGGAGGTGGTGAGGGAAAAACAATAAAGAGTTTTGAAAAGATAACTGCTGGTGGAGCCAATAAAATGGAGGTTAATTTTGGAAGATCTGGGAGAAGTGCATGGTTCTGGTGGAGGACAATGTGGAGAAAGCATGATTGATCTTTAGCAATAAGTTGGCACATGGCATGAAATGAACTTCTTGAGTAGAGCGAAGAATGGAATATGTGCTGTGTTGTAATCAGCTGTTAATTAGGACCAAGTGTAGGTTTTTTCAGCCTGCACCACCATCCTGTAAGATCGTGGCTGATCTGATTTGCACGTCAACTCCATATTCCTGCCTATCACTAGTAACCTTACATCTCTTTGCTTACCAAGAATCTATCTACACCTGCCTTGAAAGGATTCGAGGACTCTGTCTCCGCTATCCTTTCAGGAAGAGAATTCTCTGGGAGAATTTTTTTTAAAATATTCGTTCATGAGACATCGAGACTGCTGGCAAGGTCCGCCTTCATGGCCCATCACTAACTCCCCTTGAGAAAACAGTAGAGGGCTGCTTTCCAGATTGGCTGCAGTCATTATGGTGCAGGAACACCTACAGCGCTGTTGGGCAGAGAGTTCCAGGATTTTGACAAAGCAACGAAGAAATTATGGCTTCATTATTCAAAGTCAGTATGGTGTGTAGCTTGCAGGGGAACCTGCAAATCACCATGTTCCAATGGATTTGCTGCCCACACGTTCTTTTACAAAGTAAAGGTTTGGAAGATGTTGTCAGAGGAGTTTTGGTGCATTACTGCAGTGCATCTTGTAGACGATAGCTAGCTGATACTGCTGATACTAGATGATACTGCTAGCTCTTTTCAGCATGGCGCAGAGATCAAATGTTGAACACCGTGGATGGGGTGGCAAATCAAGCAAGCTGCTTTGGACTAGCCGGTTTCAGACATCTTGAGTGTGTTGTAGGAGCTGCAACCACTCCAGGTAAATGGACAGTATTCCACCCCCTGTGGCCTGATTCACCAGCCAAGGAAGGACAGTGATAAACAGCAGGAGCCTTCCTTGCCCAAACTTAATATCATGCCATGAAACTTCATGGGGTCGAGAATCAATATCAAACATCCCAAGGACAACTCTTTCCTCACTGTATACCACAGTGTCGCCATCTCTAATGGGCTGTCCTGGCAGTCGTACAGGATATAACCATGGATGGTGATGAGTAGTGTCTCCTTAGCTATGTCTTAAATGGATGACTTCTAAATGTTAAACCTTGACCCCCCTCTCCCAGCCCATACCCCCGTTTTACAGTCTCCCACTAGAGTAAATATCCTTTGCACATCCACATTACTGAGAACTCTCAGTACGTTATTTATTTCAAATATCAATCAAACGTTATAAAACCAATAAACTTTCTCTCAATGCAAACATGAACACAAAAGGAGAAGAACACAAATATTTCACTAAACAAGCTTTATATTATTGGTTCACAAATGCTGGAAGTGGAACAGAAATCTCAGGTCCCAGTGATGCATCAGTCTATGGTGCTCAGACTCCCCTTCGACCTGAGAGCAGTGCCTCTACCACCAACAGGAGCACAGCAGGCTCTGGTCATTGGGCCTTGTCGTACACCCCTCTCCTGGGTCCTGTATATATTGTTAATATTAGAAAAAGGAGAGACAGTAGCCAATTCAGCCTGCTGCTCTACTCAATGCTCCGATCTGGACATGGCCCTAACTCAGAGACAGCAAGAAATGCAGATGTTGGAGTCAGAGACAATACAATGTGGAGCTGGAGGAACACAGCAGGCCAGGCAGCAGAGGTGCAGGAAAGTTGACATTTTGGGTCGGGACCCTTCTTCGGAAAGGGAGGCGGAAGGGGGCTCAGAAATAAATAGAGAGAGGAGGGGTGGGGCTGGGGAAGGTAGGTGGGATGTTGATAGGTGAGTGCAGGTCGGGAGTGGTGGGGATTGGTCAGTGAGGTGGGAGGGGCAGATAGATGGGAGAGAAGATGGACAGGTTGTGTCAGGTCAAGGAGGTGGGGATGAGAGGGAGGGTTGGACATGGGATGAGGCCAGGGATGGGGAGATTTTAAAACTGGCAAACTCTATGTTTAGGTCTAATAATAAAAATAGAATTCACCAGTTTTAAAATCTCCCCCACTCTCAGCCTCATCCCATGTCCAACCCTCCCTCTCATCGCCACTTCCTTGACCTGACACAACCTGTCCATCTTCTCTCCCATCTATCTGCCCCTCCCACCTCACTGACCAATCCCCACCACTCCCTACCTGCATTCACCTACCTTCCCCAGTCCCACCCCTCCTCTCTCTATTTATTTTTGAACTCCCTTCCCCCTCCCCATTTCTGAAGAAGCGTCCCGACCCGTAACGTCAATTTTCCCACTCTTCTGATGCTGCCTGGCCTGCTGTGTCCCCCCAGCTCCACACTGTGTGGCCTTAACTTCATTTTCCATCCTCTCCTCCATAAACCTCGATTGTCTATGTCAACCAAGAATCTGTCTCACTCAGTTTTGAATAGATTCAAATGACACAACCTCCATTGCTCTCTGGGATTTTAAAGACTAATAACTACAGAAAGAGCAAAGTTCTCCTCCTCTGCTTGTTAAATGGATGACACTTAATGTACCCCTGTTCTTTTTTTAAACGTCCAAGGTCTGTGAATGGCAAGAGCCTCTGGGAGCAGAAGTCAATGCATTAGCATGCCTATTGGCGAGTGCAGAACCTCTCAGCAGCTGCACAGCTTAAACAGAACAATGGTGACACCTTATTTTTAAACTGTAGCCTCTAGTTCAAGATTCCCATGGAAAGAAACTTCTCAGGAGGTGTCATCTCTGTCTCCTGACATTCTGAGCAACTTTGCCTAATTAGCTACTGTAACCTTTACCTATTGCAATCATACAATAAATACCATTTCCTTCTGTAGTACAAGTGTCTCTTCTCAGTAAGCTTCAACAGTAGTTCATCCTTTACCACTGCTAATTATATAGGCCCTTACAGACATCATAGAAATAAGGATAGAGGGCTTTTGTAGGTGCAGTGGTAATGAACTTACCTCTGAGGCAGGGGCTTGGTTCAGGCCCCACCTTCTCCACATATGTGTAATAACATCTCTGTACAGGGTGATTAGAAAATATCTGGAAATGAAGATCGTTGGAAGCATTCTGCCCCAATCACAGGTCAAAAGCGACTGGTACCACAACATAACGATGCATGGTGGGGATCGTTGGATAAAAATCTTAAAACTAACACCAGTGAAAAAGATCCATCTGACCCATGAGGAAAGAAAAAAAGAAAAAAAAAATTTACCACTCACAACACTGCCTTAAGAATACTCAGCCAGCCAGTTGGTAGCTGAATGTACTGGAGCAGACGCAAGTAGCAGCAGACAAAACAAGCATTCAAGAAAAAAGCCTCAGAGCTTGTACAAGGTGCAGTATAAAAAATGTTGGCTAGAAGAAGTATAAAAACTAATCACACTGGGAAGCTATGAAGTCCTTGTAAAAGGAAGGCTCGTTGGACCATTCAGTGCTCCATGCGTAAAGTTAGAAATTCCGTATAAGCAAGGAGATAAACTTAAAAGTAATGGCACAAAAGACCAGACTGGGAAGTCAAAATGAGCATTGTCACCATCACAAGCTTGCTCCCAAAGATATGGCTGCAGTGGACGGAACAGGGGCTAGGCAATTGATTTAACACAACAAAAGAGTAATTAAAAAAATTTTGAAGATAGGATTTAATGGAAGACAATAACCAAAAGATGATATGATCGTGACATTCATAATTTAGACTCTGATTTTGGCAGCAAGTTTTAATAAAGCCTCAGATATTTATTTTTAACAATTGTACAAGTGAAATGAAAGGCAGGTAAACATCGATGTTGCCTTTGAAGGGGAACCTTCATGCTGTTTGTAGAAGGTTGAAACCAGCACCACCACTGATCAGGAAAAATGTGGAAAATATCCCAGTAAGCAGTACAGTGATATAGTTTTGCTATAATACAGAAATTAAAGCATTATTGAAAGGAAATCATGCAACCTGCTACAACAGAGTTCAAAAGCCTTGCATAGATAATACAGCAACATTGTCATTATGTAAAGTTTACAAACTTGAACAGACATTAAAACAAGAGATTGAAATGTCTTTAGGTATTACAAGAATAAAATCTTAAAAATGAGTAGATTGCAAACAGCAATGAGATATTTCAGATTTAAAACTGCTTTAAAATGACAGTCAAGTCCTCACTTAAAGTTGTGGTTATGTTTTTGGAAATCATGACTTTGACTAAAACGGTGACCTTAAGTTACTTCCCATAGGAATCAATGTTTAAATGAGAGTTAAATTATGGAGGATCTTCTTATTGGGAAAAAAATAAATTATATCATTAGATCCTAGATGTCAAAACATTTTAAACATAAAAAAAATAAATAAATTTGGAAGTATTTTTCACACCTCAGCACCTGCATTCCTTTAAAAATCTGTGAAAGGGCACATCCTGATGCAGCAAAAGTGCTGCTACTGTTGCCAATTTAGCTCTTGTTTCTGGACCCAGTTGCTTCAAATAATTTTCACTTTTAAACTAATTTATTCACACTAGCATATATTATGAAAGCTACCCATGGCAGGTAAATTACCCTTCCTCTGATACAGAGGGACTGCTGCAGCTTTGCTCCCACAGAGATGTTGTAAAATGCTGCATTGCGATTTTGTCCTGACTGGTATATCCTTTCCCAGCAAAATCCCACAGGAAGATAGAGGCTCACCGATTGCAAGTATTTTTTCTTAAGTCAAGCTAATAATTCAACAAATTCCAAGAATGAATACAACAGCTGAGAATGCAGGGGCCATTTTTAAGATGGTTATGTAGGTCCACAAATTAGAAGGTTGCTGAAATAACTGCACAGAGGCCAGCATCCCTTCACCAAGTCACCCTTTATTGATATATGCACCATGATCAGCCAGCTCAGAGCCAAACCCTAGACTGAGGAGACCTTCTGCATCTCCTGTTCATATCTCTAAGCCAGGGCTCCCTTATGGGCCCAGGTTAACAATCCCGATGAAGGATTTCATACTCCATAAGATTCTGTCACTACAGCTGGGAAAGGGGACTGGCCATGGGAAACAACATTTTAATGAATCTCTGAATGTTTATCAAGATTACAGGCCCCAATAACTTATGACTAAAAAATTAAATATGGCAACTTTAAATGAGGATGTACTATAATAGGGATAAATAACCAAATTAAAAAGAAATGGAAGGAAAAATAATAGTGCAAAATTATTTAATGTCAGAGATGTACCAAACTGAACACAGGAGTGCTACATCTGTAAAACTTCCAGAATTTCTTCATAACCAGGACACAGTTTCAGAGAAGTAAAAGAGCTCACTATGGTAGCGCAATTACCACTGAAAAATGTGGCAGAAACATTCCTGGGGAAATTAGTGATTAAAGTGAACCAGGTTCAACAGAAATTATTTGTGTCAATGGACATCTCACTTAATATTAAACTTGATACATGAACTAGTGTCTCAGTCCGGTCAAATCAGAGCAGATACCATAGCTGGGAAAACAGCAATTACAACCTACAAAGATGAAACTACAAATTCAAGGAAGTCAAGGGAATAAGGGAATACAATGCAGAATGGAAAGAGATTTAAAATGTTTACATCATTTGCAATCAACACCTCTTGCTTTTGAGACAGTACATATGTCGTGACCTCAAAAGCCTTAAAATACAAACGGGGTTCAACTAATTTCAATAGAACAACTGTTCCAGAAACACATCCTCATTGTCTAATCAGTCAAAGCGCAGCAAGTCAAATCTTTCATAGGGCTTCCTAGAATCATTGTGAAACCCAAAAAGAAGAAAGTGTCCATTGAGATTACCTATGTTGACACAAGAAAATTGTTTTATGCTGACAACAGGAAGACTAGACGTGATGTGGAAATGGTTTTGACTCCTATTATCACAGAGTGCAGATTAGAAGGCCAACAGCAGCAAAGTTTGCCAGAAGAAGCAAATACTGAAAAGAAAGAGCAGTACAACTTATGAGTTAATTCATGAATCTCTAACTGAGATTGTTCAGACAGCAAACGGTAGGAAGGCAGATTATTATTTGAATGGCTGTAAATTGAGAGCAAGGAATACTCCATGAGACCTGGGTGTCCTCACGCACCAGTCGCTGAAAGTAAACACACAGGTGCAGCAGGCAGTAAAGAAGACAAACTGTATTTTGGTCTTCATCTCGAGAGGATTGGAGTACAGGAACAAGGACGTCTTGCTGCAAATATACAGGGCCTTGGTTAGGCCACACCTGGTCTCTTCATCTGAGGAAGGGCTTGCTTTAGAGGGAGTGCAATGAACGTTTACCAAATTGATTCCGAGTGGTAGGACTGATGCAAGAGAAAAAACTGAATCAGTTAGGATTATATTCACTGAAGTTTACACAAAGAGGGAAGGGGTGATCTCATAGAAACCTATAAAATTCAAACTAGACAGGTTAGATGGAAGAAGGATATTCCTGAAGGTAGGGGGAGGCGGGTGTCCAGAACCAGGGGTCATAGTTTAAGTTTAAGAGGTAAACTGTTTAGGACTGAGGTAAGGAGAAATTTCTTCACTCAGAGAGTGGTGAGCCTGTGGAAGTTACTATCACAGAAAGTGATTGGGGCCAAAACATTATGTTTTCAAGAAGATAGATATAACTCTTGTGCCTAAAGGGATCAAGGAATATGGTGGAAAGCAGGATTAGGGTATTGTGCTCAATGACCAACCATGATTGGATTGAATGGTGGAGCAGGCTCAAGGGGTCAAGTGGGCCGGCTCCTGCTCCTAGCTTCTATGCTTCTATAGATGTTTCTAAAATAGTACACAGAAGAAATTGATACTGCAGATGTGACTTTGTTCTTGAAAGTGCGTAAGCTCATCATTTGACTTTAACATTTCAATGCTTTGCTTCCAAAGAATTACGACTACAAGTGACAAGCATAATGCTAAATATGCAGCAGTTCTCCAGCGAGGAATAATAAAGTCTGTTTTGTCAAGAAGATATTCATGGACGGCAAATGAAGACACCTCAACCAAATCAACAAGGTGAAGTAAAGAGCTAACATGAATGTATCAGCAAATGGAGAGTAAAGATTTGCTTGAACAAAATGGAAATGACTTAAATCCAATGTCATGGATGCCAGACCAGAGTCCTCAAATTCCAGGGTACAGTCAAAAAGAAGAAATTTCATGGTCTGAAACTCCAGGATAATTGCAAGGATAAAAGCACTTGTTTCACCCAATCAGCCAGCTTTGATGATGGACTTTCACAACATTGAAGGTGATATTTTTAGGCAAGTACCTGAGGTGACAGGAACGTGTTCCTCTGCAAAGGAAATTCAGGAGATTTAAGGTCCTCCAAATAAGGTAGGGGACTAACTACCAGGTTCAGCAGGAATGACATTCTCCATAAAGGTCATCCAAAAGATAAAAGATCATTCAGTGCAAAATTCATTCAAAAACCAAGGCCATGGTCAAAATCAAGGTCAACAGTCCCTAAGCCAAAGACCTACCAATCATGCAAGTCAAAAAAGAAAACCTTCTGGAAAAAGAACTGTAGAACCTTCAGACTACCTGAATCTGTGAAGTATCTAAGAGTCATATCAAACTCAAAACATTAACTTTGCTTCTCTCTCCACAGATGCTCTCAGACCTGCTGAGTTTCTCCAGCACTTTTAATTTCATTTCAGATTTCCAGCATCCACAGCATTTTGCTTTTATTCAGCCCATTGTTGCCTGTGCTGGCTCTTTGAAAAAGTTATCCAAGTTATCCCACTCCCCTGTGCTTTCCCCTCTTGCCCTGCAATTATGTTCCTTTCAATTATTTATTCAACTCCTCTTTTGAATGTTATTACTAAATCTGTTTCTACTGCCCTTTCAAACAGCAAGTTCCAGACTATAACAGCTCATTATGTGAAAAAAGATTCTCCTCAAGCCTTCTCCTCAATCTCACTTTTTTAAAACCAATTTCCTTTAGTAAGGGTTTCTTTAGGAGACTGTAATCTGATGCAGTCTCTCAGTCTTTCAGTGGAAAAACAATTATTTTTCACAAGATCACAATGGAGACAGACATCTCATCTCTGGTTCCTGATTGCTTTTGCAGTTCACCTAACTAGTTAATGTAACCTGTACGCATTGTTATTATGCAATAAATTGCATTTTGTTGTGGAAGACTCTTCTCGTTTAGGACTCAATGGTAGTTTGTCCTCCAGCATGGCTAATTGGTAAGGCCTTCATCTCTAGATAGGCTGGGCCAATGTGGCCATTAATTGATCAAAGCAGCAGGCCACACAGGGGCTTATAGTGCCTGACAGTCTGCCCCTTTTTCGCAGTTACATCCAGGCTCAGGTGTCTGTGGAGAGGGAGCGTGCAGTGTTCACCAGCACAATGGAGGCTGTTGGAGACATGTGGGCACCATAGGATTAGGGGTGCATCATCACCCTGGACAATGTTATTTTAATTGGCTAAGTTTCTGTTTTATAAGTTTTCATTAGCCATTTGCTGCTTCTATCACAGTGCCCCATTGGGGGCAATTTGACCTGTTAAAGTTTGTGGTTTTAAGAATACAGAGCAAGATTTGGCTACATCTGCATTCTGGCAACGATGGAGAGGGAGAATACAGAGTTCAGTGGCCTGGACAATACAGGCCTTTAGGGATCAGTGGGCCCACATGGGCTGGAGCGCATCATCAGACCTGATAGTGACATTTGGTTTACATTTAATAAGTTTCCATTGTATGTTTCTATTGGCCTCTTGATCTTTTGTTGTAGGGTTCCGCTAGGGCTGTTTAAACCATTATATTCATCTCAAAAGAATAAACAGGAAGTCTGAACCTCCTGCAAGGTAATGCGCATGACGAAAGAGAGACATAGAGAGAGATTTGACTGCACTGAGATAACCAAATGCTGACTTACTATTATCTGATCAGTGGTCTAATGATTACTTCAACAGAATTTTTATGACTTTACCTCGTAGTGGAGACTTCATGGCAGCTTCCACCATCCCGACCAGCAGCTGCAAGCTTTTCGGATCCTGGGCCAGCCCAGATGCAAACGCAGCCAGTGCATCTGCATGGCGGCCGAGATACTGGAGAGCAACACCCTGTCGGAAGTATGCCTGCAAAGAACGGTAGAGACAATATAACTTCTATATAGAACTATTCTATAACTATTCCCAGTGAGATTTACCACATCATTTATTCATCAATATCTGACAAATCTTTGTCTGTGGGTTGTACATTCTACCAAGGGTAATACTTTCATGAAACCCATTTCTCACCAACACATACTATTGTTACTTTGTCTGTTTTGTTGCAATGACAGAATTTTGCATTGTTTGCTTAAATGATACATTATTCCGTGATTGCTTGGCAGAGACTGTTTTAATCCTTTGGAACTAGCAAATGGAAGGTAACAGTACAATCACTGTCATTCACAGAGTCATTATTCATCAATTCCTCAGATAGTAAAGCTTCTATAGAATATGCAAAGAATGCTGGACTTAATGGAGGTCTGACCAGCCAACCAGAGAGCTGGCACAGGCCTCCCATCACCTCCTTTAGGGAAGACCCACTGAATTATGTAGCGCTCATGTATAAAGCAGGCATTGGCAGAACTTGCCCAGAATCAAAGATCCAGGTGGTGCAAGGCCAGTCTGCCAAGTGCTGCGGGTTAAACAGGGGCCAGCAGTTTTATTGAACAATGCCAGTAGGGAAACATTAGCTGCTGGTGGCACAACACCCAACCAAGGCCTAATATTATTGCTGGATTCCAATCCAGAAGGGAAAGACAAATTTAAAAAAAGTAATAATTGGAAATGAATTTAATGAAGCTCCATTTTGAGATAAACAAAATGAGTTGGGCCAATATGTATCATTCATAAGTTTTACTGTTCTTCTCTCTTCTGCAATGCCAGTGGACAGAGATGCTGGAGATGGGTGCCTGGAGGAAGGAGCAGCATAAAATTTGTTAGCAAGGGCAGGAGACGGTTCTCAGTGAGAACCCCTCTCCCCCACGCCAGATGCCGGATCCCTAGATCAAGCAAAAATGGTCTTTGAATGAGCAACTCCCCAACCATGACTTGGCAAGATTCCATGTAGAGTTTTGCTGTTGGGATCCCTGCGTGGCGAGCCCACTGCTGGTTTAATGTCAGTGGTGGTGGGATGAGGACCTTATGTAGACATTAGCTGCCCTCATAAGGTCCTCAATTGGCAATGAGGTATAATGGCCATCCATGGGTCTCTACCTTGTCAGGGTGGAGGCATGACATTGGTGGGGCTCACCACCAACTTCCCACTTCATTAAATTATTCTACAAGCAAATGTGACAATTTACAAAATTGATAAAAATAATCCAATCAATTTTAATTACTATGTACCCAAGATTTAATAAAAACCAAAAGAACTGTGGATGTTGTAATGCAGAAACAAAAATAAAAATTGCTGGAAAAGATTTTTTTTTAAATTTTTGTAGCCAAGCATTAATTTTAAAATAAAACACAATTGAACAATGAAACAATTAAAACTTATACGGCCATCAAATCATTCCCTTCCACAGACTATGTACAATCTATCCCATTATGGGCACCATCCAAACTGTCAATTTCCTGGTGGCAATCTCTTGCTAACTAATTCCAAGGTAACCCTGGCTGGTTACCCATCTCAGACCTCCATGAGCACTAGAACGACAGAGAATCATCATTGGTGTTCTAAAATTGAGTCCTGATGCTGGTTTTATTTTAATCTAGCCTTTTTAGAGCAAGCATATTGCCATGGTACTAATTGCCTTTGTTGGTTGTACACTACAAACTGCCATTTTTTTTTGTGGTTTTGGCTGAGAGACTCTTTGAACGGTATACTTTCCACTTGCACTAATTACAACCTAAACTAAACATAGGTATATAATCAACAAACAGAAAATACTCTTCCAAATGCCTAGTTTCACATGAGGCCAGAACAATCTAAATAATCTACTATCAGCATATGCACCTCTCAGTATTTTTAAAACCTGAATCATTCTCTTCAATTTTACAGTGGAATCAAATTGAATTCAACACATCTAACCTTGACTTGGTGCTGCAACTGATGAAATTGTATTGTCTCTCAAGGCAGTGGCCATAATCACAGTTAGTACTCCAAATTTTGTTACTTACAAGGTTAGATTAAATTGTTTCAATTTGGGCTAGACATTCCTGACATCCTTTTATTTAGGTTGAAAATAATATTGAAATGGACAAGTGGGTAAAACTGATAAGAAGTTGGTTGTAGTGATTGAATGGGGTCAGCCAGGTGGACCTCATAGATTTAGAATTACATGATTGGGGCTGTTAATCTGGTCCGATCAGGGAGCCCTGGCTGACAGACATAAACAGGAGCGTCAGAGGTTCTATTCACTCGGAGAGCGGGATCTGAGGGAGCTGGATCAGTGTCAAGGACTCTCCATGTGTAAATAAAGGGTGACATGTTGATGTGATACTGGGCCTCTGTGGAGTTATTTCAGTGGGTAACCCTCAAAAAGGAGAAAATACAGTCCCAGCAGTGATAAGAGTTTCAATTTTGAGACAATACATTTCTTTTCAATAACTTGTTCTGAGGCTTTTAAGGTATTAGTAAGTACATTACGCCCAACGTAAGTTTCAGACACTTGGAGGGAAGGAAGGAAAGAAGAAACCGTTATAATTAAGTCTGTCTATCTCCTCCTTCAATTAACTCAATGTCACGGCATCCACCACATTCTGAGGTAGTGAATTCCTCAGATTCACAAATCTTTGAGACAAGTTGACATTGTATTGAAAGCTTTCAGTTTTAATTATGGGGTTCATAGAATTGTTGTGTTTTGGAACTGTGCCTTTAAATAAAGGTGTAAAGAGGTCAGGTGACTTATTCTGAAGTCACCTTGGTAACATTTATGACTGTGTCATGTAAGGTGTACACATATGGAGGTATCAATCTCCCGGTGCGCAATGAGTAGACTCTGTGACTCCCAATGTCTCAATAAGGAACTGAAAGTATCAGCAGTTATGATATAAACTGTCTATTCACTCATAAGATGAACGAGAGTAGGGGTGAAGAGTAACTAATCAGGATTTGTACCTTGATACAAGGCTAATATGCTTCATGGGGAAGGTGCAAAGGAATCCATTTTGAGGCCAGTTTACAGGCTTCCCTACAAATCAAAGAATCACACAGACAGACCTGAATATTTATGTTCTCAGCAGAGAGAACAGGCTGATTGGCTTTGCAAACTACTACAGGTAAGTGGAGAAATATGAGCCCTTGGGAAGCTGGGAGCAACTAGGGACTCTATTATCAGAACTGTAAATCTGTGGTGCCTGATAACGAGAAAGCAGGAACACACCTGTCTCGAGTTTAAAGTACAAGTTACCTACAAAAGTAATATGTAATTGGTGTTTTTAGTTATGACATAAAAACCTTGACATGGAATTTTATACAATATTTTTGCTATCTTTTTGTGTATTTTCACACATCATAATCTTACGCTGCTCCCATCTAATGATCCTTGACTTACAATAAGGAGTAACACCTTATTAAGGAGGTAGAGGGAATTATTGGAAATGTTTGCAAGTTCCCAGTATTTCAAGAATATCTATCTTCGATGACAATGAAAGAAAAGCTTTTTTAAGAAAATCATAACTGCAATATTTAATTTAAAATACAATCAATATTATGAGCATGAATTAATAATTAATACTCTGACTTGTTATCATTAAAGATTGAATTGATTGAAGCACTGTGCCTGATGCTGTAGATGTTCAATCATGCTTCCTGTCCGTTCTGGACTCCTACATATTCATTACTGCTGAGTTATTAAAGACATTGAAATAACCTGTTGCTGTAAAAGGCTTGTAGCTTTTATTTTCCAATAAATCATTGATATGGGACAGTCTTAATTGTTATTTCAGAGTACATTTCAAAATATGTGGGCATTCTCTGAACTGCTCTAAGGCAATTATGTTTTTTGTTTCAAATATGGAGACAAAAATTGCGCACAGTACAGTGAATGTGGTCTCACCAATGCCTTGTACTACTGCAGCAAAACTTCCCTATTTTTATATTCCATTCCACTTTCAAAGAAAAAACATCAACGTTCCATTTGCCTTCCTTATCACATATTGTAGCTGCATGCTAACCTTATGGGATTAATTGTTTTAAGAAAAACAATATCTTGTTTATTTTGTTTAATGAGGAGGAATCTGGTGAGTTCACTACCTCAGAATGTGGTGGATGCCGTGACATTGAGTTAATTTAAGGAGGAGATAGATTGCCTGCTCCTAGTTGTAATGTTGTCAATTAATTCTATAATTGGAGGTAAGGCAGGAATGGAGCAGTTAAAATGAAGCATAAGTGCAGGTAGGATTTTAAGGAGATATCTGGTAGCACAAAAGGACAGCATTGGCTACTCAAGTGAACAATATGGGCATCAGGAACAGATAGTAGTCCAGTCTTGCCATATATATTATACGCATGCACACACACACATGGTGTTGCATACAGCCAGGTGTTTTCTCTTCAATTTCTAAGAACTAAACTATTTTGGCAGAGGGCAATGCGTTGGCTCAAGGTTCCAGCACAACTGTTATGCCTTCCTGCTGCACAGGCAGGAGGTTTGGGTTCAACTCCCACTCCAGGACTTGTTGGTCAAGGAAGTTGCATTCATAACAGTCAAAAGGGTTGAATCTCAACCTTTCAATCCTTTCAACATATGCCAAAGGCAGGTAGTAAGAGCAGGAGAGTTTCCTAGGCAGCCATGTTATAGAAAGAAACTGCATAGCTCCAGGCTTCGGCACGCATGTAAAAGTTTCAGTTGCCAAACCAACCGGGACTGTTTGCAAGGTCAGGGGGCTGGACAGCTGGTGTGGATAAAATTGGTACCAACAGCACAGGATTCAAACGCCTTTCTGGTTGAGTTGGATTCAGGAGTAGCCTCCTTGCACCACCCACGGGCCAGGTTTTGACACTGTGGATCAGACCTGCCTTCGGGCAGAGAACTCTCAGGATGAAGAAAATGAGGCCACTACAAGGATGTCAAAGCTGTAACAGAGTAGGCGAGTTTAGTTGGGGCCAAAATCAGATCAACCATGATGTTATCGACTGGTGG